ACACACACGCACACACGAACACGCACACACACACATTAGGACACTTGCCAGCCTGCCTGCCTACGCATGCTGTTTCCTTTGATCTCGAGGACTCTTCATTGTCCACTGCTTCTTGACCCTTCAGTTGACCTTCACGCACACACGCACAAGCACACACGCATACACATACATAGTTATATACACCCATATATTTATATAAATTCATTCATATATATTATGTATGAATGTATACCAGGTATATAGGCGCCCTTTAGAACGCCTACTTGCCTTAGATATTTGTTTATTAATAACGGAAATATTAAAACAGTTTTTCCATGGTTTGGTCATTATCGTTACCATCATCATCATCACTATCATCATTTTTCATCTATCATCATCACTATCTATCATGAGATCATCATTCTCATCCCCATCATCGTCATCTCACTTATTATCATCTTATTATCATCACCATCATTATCATTACCTTCATTATTATTATCATTATTATTATTATTATTGATCATCGTATGTACTATCATCTTATAAATAAATTTGTTCGTTCATTATGAAATAATTATTAGTTTAGCTTGAAGTACCTCACACACACACAATAAAAAAAACACAGGCAAAATACCCAAATGCACATGACACACACATATACACACACACACGCACGCACACGCACGCACAAACACATTGTAACAAACATACGAGGAGACGTAGACGGGCGGAGTGTATACATTGGATCAAAATATCGTTAATCATGAGAGAAACGCTTTGCTTCAGATTAATTGTTTTTCAAATGCCGTTTATTGTTGTACACGCACGTGCACGGGAACACATTTTGTAACAAGAATCACGTACACACACGCAAACATCGACAACACATGCAAACATTACATACGCAAACATACAAAACCAGATACATGATCATTCATCAGTAAATAACAAAACGGGAACAGAGTTATTTGACGAAATGAAAACATGAATGTAGTGAATATAGCAGTATTAAAGCAACAACATTCTGAAGATTTATAGTGAGAGAAAGAGAGGGAGAGAGAGAGAGAGAAAGGAAGAAAATGAAATTATGAGAGGAACATTTTCCACGCATGATTGGACTGTCCTTCTTATCAGCATTGCAAGGTGTGACCCCATCTTTTCATCATTCCTAATGACGTCATCGTGGGGTCAGTCTCTAGTTCGTTCCGGGGCAAAATAAAGTGCACGCTACTTAGTCACTTAGTTGACTCTGCTTGATATCGTCATCATTTATACCGTGACATCATCACCATCATTATCAGCAGCATCAGCAGCAGCAGCAACAACAACAACTACAACGTTGGCTTCATCTTTATCATTATCATCTTCAGTAATATCATATTTTGATGTTAATATATATCATGATTTCTCATTACATTTGTCATCATTCGCATAAAGGTCGATGTCATTTTTTGTCATCATCGCCATAATCATCATCCTCATCATTTTCTTGTCGTCATCGTCATCATCATCATCAGTGTCATCGTCTTAATCATCACATTATCATCACCGTCATTCTAATCATTTGAATATCGATGTTACACTATATCCGATATCATATCATTTCTCTCTACAATAATCATTTTGATGCGTTCACACGCACACACACACACACACACACACACACACACGCACACACACGAACACACACATATATAAATGAAAGTGTGCATGTGTGTGTACAGTTAATAGCTAGTTATGTTACGTATAGATGCCTAATACCATTTGGATACATTGTAAATGCATTCATATTGTATATGTGTATGTATGTGTAAATGTATGAATGAATGTATGTTTGTATGTACGTACTACGTATATGTATTTATGTATTTATTATGTTTGTTGTTATTGTCTTTGTGTATGGTTGTCTGTATTTATGTTTGTCTGTATGTATGTTTGTCTGTGTGTATATTTGTCTGTATGTGTGTTTGTCTGTGTGTATATTTGTCTGTGAGTATGTTTGTTTGTGTATATGTTTGTTTGTGTATATGTTTGTTTGTGTGTATATTTGTCTGTGTGCACGTGTTCTAAGTTATCCACAAGACTGACTCAGCGTGACACCATTGACAACTTATAATTAGGTGATGTTGCTTTCGTTCTAATTATGTTTGTAAGGTTAAATGTGAGGCGAATGTTTTTGTTCGTTCGTTCGTTGGTTGGTTGGTTCGTTCGTTTGTTTCTTTTGTTTCATTGTGCGTGTGTGAAAAGTTGTATAATAATCGTATCTAATGTTGCTAATACACAATCTAGCATCTTTTATCAACTGGATGAGTGTTTATATTATCATTATTATCATCACGTCTCTTGCGAACTTATTCAAAGTGAAAGTATGACTCCATCTTGTTTGTTGCATTATCATTATCATCATCTTCATCATTTCATTCGAACAACCATTCATATCTATTTCATTACAATTAGTAATAATATGTTAATTGATAATCCCTAGCAACCAATCAATAGCCAGCCAGAAACTAAATATCAACCAATCAAAAAACATGAACTACTCTTTACTAACCAGTCATCAGCCAATGAGAAGTGGTTTTACAACTTTACAATTCAACATTAACCCATCAGAAATGACAAATCAGCCGGAATGAAAAATGATCTATCAATAAATTAACGAACAGCTTATTAAATAATCAACTGTTAATTATCAATCAATTAAGAAAACAGCAACCAATCAGCTGTCAAATAATGAAACCAATGAACTGGCCAATCAGCAGTTAACAATCAATCGACAGCAACCAATCAGCAGCTAACAATCAATCAATCAATAAACCAATCAACCGTCCTGCCAACAAATTAATTACATGACAGCGTTCTAATCAGCCACGCGTTACAATTCAAACAGGAAGTTAAAAATGAAAAGACACCAATTAAGCAATCAAATAATGCACGTGTGTCACAGGAAATACACATGTGTGTCTGTGTGCGTCGTGCGAAAATGAGTGGAGTGTGTCTGTAGAGTCTGTATGATGAGTGTGTGTGTGTGTGTGTGTGTGTGTGGTGTGCGTGTGGCGTATGTACGTCGTGTGTTGTGTATGCAATGCTCTGTGTAGAAATCGTATTATACCTAATGTATGCTGGTAAATGTGTGAATGATACGACCAATTTATAATTTGTGAACAATTGTATAATTTGTTATATAAATAATTAATTAATTGATTGAGTAATAAATTAAACAAATAAATAAATAAAACCAATTGAAAGTCAGTTAATACGTTAGAATGTTAGCCATCTATCAAATAAATAAGCCAATGCACACACGCATTGCATACACACACACACACACACGACACACACACACACTCACAATTAACCACCAACGAAAATTAAGCGAGCCGACAAACAGTGGATGAACTAACTATTTTAACCATGGGAAATTGAAAAATATGCATTTTTATTTGCTATATGAACCCACAACTCTTATCATAATAATATCTTTCTATAGTTTGTCATGAGAATGTGAACAAGCCAAATCACAGACAAAATCACAGACACTACACACACATACAAACACACAAGCCACACACCTTCACACACGCATGCACACACATTTAAAAAGCATAGATGCGAACAAACGTACACACGAAATCAAACACATACACTCTCAAGCACACACAAACACATAAATATGCTAGCAAAAATGATATAAACATTCTAGCAAATTAACCCATATAATCACATACATAACCACAAATCTTTAATACACACGCACAAACAAACACGCGCACACACACACACACATACACACACGCATACACACACACACAAAACCACAAACAAACACAAGCGCACACTCAAGCAAACAATTGAAACACTGTTATTAAAAATGCATAAAGGCATCTCATATAACATCACATCCAGCAAATTGAGCCGTCCAAACAAAGTCGTAAAGTGGGATTTCGTGTAAAATGAAAAATGGAAAAATGAAATTGTTATTTTTCCGTTTTACTATCATTTTTAACTCCCATCAATTACTACACGCACTGCAAATGTTACTTAGACTGTAGAGTTAGTGGCTGGTAGTTGAACTGCTCTGAATGGTTAAAGACACTCTCGATACTACTACTGCCACCTCTAATGCTACTATATCTTTTTCTTTTACTACTACTACTACAGCAACAACAATTACTATTACTACTACCACTGGCGTAAAATACACATATAAAAACACACACATATTCATACAGACACTCACACACACAGAAATATACATCTATACCTACATGCAAACACACACACACACAGTGGACACTTATTAATCATTAGTTCATTAGTTTATACATTTCAGTTATATTTTTAGACTATTGTTAGGTCTCTTTAGAATTGCCACGCGTGTATTAGGGTTGATCATAATGATGATTATGATTCTAAGAAAACATGTCGGTACTGATGATGATTCTTCAGAAACAACATAAAAGTTATACATAATTCGATTAGCAACACACCAGATCCAACCATCCAATCGGAGATTCGTTCTTTTTTCTTTATAAACACACACATATATATAAACATCAATCACCTCTGCCGGCTGTTTTTACCAACTGCACAGAATAAGATCAATCAAACGTTTTCTGGCAGTAGTCAACAATAACACTCGTTTGTAGAAGAAATGACTACTGCAATGCGATCATGTTCGGTCGGCATCAACTTATCACTGTGTTGATTAGCAGTCTGTTCAGAGAACAGCAGCGAGACTTGTTGCTGGTTATTCGAAATTCAGATGGGGCATGGAAGATAAAAACGGATTGCAATAGCCACATGAACTCTATCAAATAACAATACAAACATATATAACAAATAAGCGAATCTTGACTTCAAATCGAATAGATAGGTAACACATTTGATTAGGCTGACATTTTATTGAACAAGAGCAAATATTCATACTCAACCCAAACGATACTCAGTCAAATATCAAAAAACAAAGAATAAAATTATCAGCAATCTTTATAATAATCATTAAAATATGACATAATTTATTCTTTCTTCTTCTCCCCTCTTATCTTCTTGGGGACCACTGGTTTCTGACTCTTCAAGATAGCACTTGCTCTTCTGAGGGCAGCCTTTTAACACAAAAATTTAAATTAGCATAAAATTAAAACAAACATTGAATTAAAAATAACACGCAAATATATTATAAATAGCATGACAAATAACAATAGACTAATCATAATACTAAGAAAAATGGAATAAGGTAATTTACAGATTTCAAGTCCTTTCTGTACTTGCCATTCCTCACGATGCTCTTGATGGATTTGAGAGTTCTCCTGGCCCCCCTCTTCAACTCAACCTTTGTGTACTGTCGTGGAAGTTTTCTGTGGGCTGAACATTTCAAATAACTTTTCACAAAAGAGTTTTTAAGAAAATTATAGAAAAAATTTATCACAAATTAGGACATAAATATAAATTATGAATCATAAAAAAAGATTGATAACTAAATTACAACAAGCTGACAGAAATAAAACAAGAACTAATTACCTGAAGCATTCTTGGTGATAATGGCCACACCTTTACCATCGGGCAGTGGTTCGACTCCGATGGTCTTCTTCCTAATGAGACCATTGAATCTGTAAGAGTTGAGGCCTTTTAAATTGTTGCGTTCCTGAGTGTGAATTCAATTTTTTTTTGTTCAAATAAACGAGGCTTGTCAAATTTAAAATATGTTCTCAGAATTTTGAAAATAACATAATTACTAATATTAACAATTGTAGCAAAAATGTGAATGACCTTCACCATAAACATCTAATTCTACACATATTCTAACCAAGTATTATTTATTTTAGTTTTTTTAGGCTTGATAAAAAAATATTTTATAGATATTGACGATAGAAAACAAAAAACGCAAAATTTATTTTTGAAATTGAAACAAAAAAAATTTTAAATTTAACAAGCAAATCTTAAGGACAAATTAATTAAAATTTTACAAAATTCTAAATTTAATTTAAATATATTTAGGCTTTACCATACTTTATCAATAAGAAAAATTAATTCTACGTTATTTCACATTTTAGGATTACAGAGTGCTCTTTTAATTTGGTTAGGTTTGATCAAGGGGAGGCCTATTTATCAACATACAACGCTTTCTTATGGATTGGTGCCGGGGTATGCAAAAAACCTCAATTTTTAAACTTTCAATTCTTTTCGATAATGCCAATTTTATTTTTTTAAATTTATACCAAATAGAAGAAAATTAATTACCACATTGAATAACAATTAGAAAAAATTAAAATTTAAACATTTTAATTTAAATAAAAGCAATGTGCCAAAATTAGTAAATACTTAATAACTTTTGACTAAAACGATAAAAACCACCCTACAGATCCCCTCCGGAAGTAAGCTTATTGTTCGACCTTTAAAAGTGAGCGAAGGCCGTTATATTTATTCTAGTTATGTAGGCTGATAATGATAACCCTTTCACAACATTAGTGATTAGTCATCAGTAGTCATTTTGGCAGTTGCTTAATTCAAAAGAATGATTAATGAACAATGCGGTTTTGTGAAAATTAAGCAGCGCGAGTGTAATACGCAAAATATAAAAAAAATAAATTTTGAAATAAAAATGATTTGTACCTTTGAAAATGTCGGAGCATGTCTCCTTTTCATCAGGAACGAGCTGGAGTTCCTCACGATCATCCATTGCAAGTCAGACGACATTTTGACTTCACCTGCAACAAATTTAACTTTAAATTCATCATATTTCAGTACCACAAAAGTGAAAAAAACATGGCAGATTTAATATTTTATTTTAAAAAAACCACGAAGAAAGCGATAAAACCTCACTTTTGATGCAACAGGAAAAAGAAAGAGCATAGAACTTTAATTCCTTATAAGTATAAATGTTTGTGGTATATTGATATTTCAATTGTAAAATTTCCAATTTTCAGCTAATATCCTTTAAAATTTTTATTTTTAAAATTGTGTCCAAACATTTTTAATATTTAATAATTAACGAATTTAATTTTAATAAAACATATAAAAAGTACAGTTTCGTACTATGCCACTTTTTGTTTTCAATATTTGTTTAGTTAGAAAAATTGTTCAATGGTGTTTTGCAGATTTTAAAATTAAATGGCTTTTTGATTAAATTAAATTTTTTGTAAAAATAATTAAATTGTTTAATTAAATCATTATTGTCAAAAGTTAGTTGATTTCTTTTTTCAATTGACTGTTTTGTTTTTTCATTTTCTATTAATTTTTTTCATTTTTTATTTAATTTTAATTTACATTTAATTTTTAATATTTTTTTAAAATAAATTTTTAAATTATAAACTTGATTTTATTTTAAAAAATAAATATAAAATGGCCGGTTTTTCAAAATTTCTGTTGTTTGTCATCATTAAAGTTCAAATTTCATAAAATGTTATTAAGTCATTCAAATGATTGTTTTTTTTATTAGAATTAGTATTAGAATTAGTTATTAGATTAATTAATTAATAAAATTAATATTAATAAGCAAGCATTAAGATTTCCAATTTTTTATTAATGAATTTTTTTAAGTTTAAGTTAGACTAGACAGTTCATTAAAATTCAAATTTCATAAAATTTTATGAAATCAAATGATTCATTTCATTTTTTTAATTAATAATTAATATATATACTGTTGGATTACTTATTTTATTTTTACTCTGCCCCTGAACAAGACATAAGGAAAGACAAGTTTTTAATTTAAATTTAAGTTAGTACACAGCACACAACTCAGTACAATACAGTATGTTTTGTTAGTTACACAACTTTTTACTGTTCTATTTTATTAAATTTAAATAATAAATAAATATATTTTATAGTCCCATTAATTAATAATTAATAATCACTGATCAGTTGGTTAAATTTTGAAGGTTGTTCTTTTTTTGGATTTATAAAGTTCAATAAAATTTTATACTTTACTTCAATTTGATTAGTAAATAAATTATAGCTAGGTCCAATTTCTCTAATAAATAATTGTCTATGTAAATATAGTTTCAGGTTAGGTTTGATTGTATATTCTCTTAAAATGAAAAAAAATCACATTTTCGTCAAAAAGTTTTTAATGTTCATAATTATTAAATCAGAGTTAAAATAATTTCTTTTATTGTTAAGGATATTATTATCTGTATTGCTATTGTTGTCGATGTTGCTGCTGATGTTGTTGTTACTGCAGTTGTTTTGTTTGTTATTATTGCTGTTGTTTTTATGACTAGATGCTCTTATCAATATTTTCAATTATTGTTGTTCTTTCTATTGTTAATGTCTGCAATAAATTTGTTCTTTAAAAGTATTACTCTCCTTGAGTCCTTGAACAGCTGGCTAGCCATAGATAAGATTTAATTACAATTCTAAGCATGGTGCATGTATGGTTGGCTGACTGGCTCGTTGGTTGGTTAGCTAGTTGGTTGGTTGGTTAGCTAGTTGGTTGGTTGGTTGGTTAGTTGGTTAGCTAGTTGGTTGGCTGATTGGTGGGATGGTTGGCTGGTCATGCATTTCGTTCAACATTATTTGTATATTTTTGTTTTGTATTTTTCTGTATATGTAAGATTGCATCTTTGCTTATTTGTATGTGTGTGTGGGATCAAAGATTAGCCTTGTTAGTTTTGTATGTGTGTTGGATCATATGTTTATTTTGCATGTGTACATATGAGTATGTATGTCCTTATTGTATGGATTTGTAAGATTTTATGTTTCGTAAAACTGAATGTTAGCATTGTATTGTTTGTGTGTTTAGAATTGTTTTTGTGCGTCACATGTTTATGTAAGATTGCAGGCACATATTGTATGTTTAATGGGTTGTATACTTGAATTGCGTTAGTGTATATAATTGTATGTATGCATTGTACACATGTTAAACCATATGTTTGTATTGCATGTATAATATATGTGTAAAATTGTATGTACATTTTTTGTGTTTACATATGTTTTGTTATTTGTATTTTCATTTTGGTGCATGGTTGTTTATAAACTTTTGTATGTATTTGTGTTTGTTGGGTTTAAATTTATATACACAGCCCTCTGGTGAAATATTTGTTTTGTTTGCATTCCTTATTCAAATGCTGTGTTTAAATTGTTTGTGTGTGTGTGTGTGTGTGTGTGTGTGCGCGCGCGCGTGTATGTGTGTTTATATCCATTCAATTAAGTGCTTCCATTCATTGCAGTCTATTATTTTATTTCTTTTTGTATTTTTATTATTGTTTTTGCTCATTATCTTCACCATTCCAAGGCTGTACATTTAGCATGAAACCATCCATGGAGCAGGTAATGTTCATCTTCATTTTTTAAAATAATATTTTTTGGGATTTTGGTATTGTTGTTGTTTTGGTATATTTTAAAAGTAACAAAATAATGTTAGAGAAATATGTCTCATATTAGATTCATACATTAGATATGAGGTATGGAGATGTATGAAGATTTAAATAAACCAGTTTGAAATTGTAAGGTATGTCTCATATTGGATTCATACATTAGATCTGTCATGTCATGTTAAATTGTGGTATTGATTGTAATTATTGTCGGTAGGTAGTGAACAAATTATCTAAATGAAATAAAAACATTTCTACACTTTGCAATTAACAGGCCAGGGTTGGCTAGACAAATTCACTTCATTGTGGGTTTTTTTTTTGATAATTTTGTGATGCAATCTTTTATGGGTGGGTCTCCTCTGTTTTTGTCTCTTTAATTGATTGGTTGATTTATGATGATGTTTTTAATGCTAATTATGAAGATGATGAGGAAGCTGATGAGGGGATGAGATGAAATGATTAGGATGCTACTGGTGTTGGCAATGATAATAATGATGGTGGTACCAGAGTTTATTACCAGATATGTCATTATTGATGGCTAAACATTTTTTTTAAATTCACCAGTAATAGGGAAATATTTTATATCTCTCTCTTTATACATTAAGCTTTTCATTTAATTATTTTGAAGAAAATTTACAAATTATTTTATAAGTTACTTGATAACTTTTCCAATGAAATTAGGTTGTACAAATATTATGATGGTAGCGATGATGATGGCGATGATGGCCCTGATGAATAAGACGTTGTTTCACACATACACACACATTTGTGTAAACAAGTGTGTACAAACAAATACACTCAAAGATATAATCCTATGTACACTAATCTTATGCATACACTCACTCACTGTTATGTATATTTTTGTTTGTATGACATACAAATGTTGTTTATATTTTCATTCAATAACATCTAATAAATTTTGTTCATGTATGTGTACTCCACTACTTATATTCAGCTGCACGCGCGCGCACACACGTGTACACACACACACGCACACACACACACACACTTATATATATCTATATATACTGATAGAAATCACATTAATTGTTTGTTTAAACAATGTTTACACTTGAACTTGAATTTTTTTCTAGTTTTGTTGTTGCTTGTATGATAATGTTGTTGCTTGTTGTTGTTGTATTGTTGTTGCTTGTTGTTACTGATATTGATGTTGTTGATGTTTTTGTTTTTTGTGTTGTTTCTTTTGTTGTTGTCCTAATTTATTTGTTATTGCTTTTTAGTATTGTTACTGTTGCCATTATTTGTAATCTTTTCATCTGCAGTAGTTCTTTGCACAAGAATACTATTTACTAATGTAAGTAACATGAAGCCAACTTTACTAACACTAATTATAAAATAGAAAACGCTATGACATTGTTGAAACTGCTTTCCGTATAATTTGCATTGCAATTTTTATAGATAATTGTATTTTAAAATTTATTTTTGATGAAATACTGTGCTTTCCACATAAATTATAATTTTAATAAATTATTATTATTATTATTATTATATTTTTTTTGCTTATTATTATGGTTTTTGAAATTTTATTTTCACCAATTTCAATGGAATCAGTCACTGATGATGGTATTTGTATTTCTTTGAAAACCGTCGTTATTTTTCGTTATAAATTTCGAATGTAATGAGATTTTATGTTGATAATCATCATCAACATCATCATTTTCGGTTCTCTGATTATCATTATCATTATCATCGTTATAACCATTATTATATCGTATCATCATCGTTATCATTATTATTGTTATATCAACATCACAACGTGTTATAAACATGTCAATCGTCACCATAGTCACCATCATCATCGTCATCGTTCTAATTGTTTGTTATCATCATCTTAAACATCAGTATCGTCATCGCCATCATCATCATCGTCATCATTGTAGTAGCTTCATTGTTTTTTGAACAATTTCAGCAGTAGTGTTAAGACTGATCAATTTGAATGTTGACAAATCATAGTATATATATGTATATATATACATATATATGTACATATATACCCACCACAAGACAAACAGTCTTATTCGGTCTCTGCATATTCAGCTTCATAACTTTTATTCACTTATTTGATATGTTGTTGATTATGAATAAAACTTTGAAATATATACACATATATATACATATATATATACATATATTTATACATATATATGTATATATATATGTATTGTATATATATATATATATATATATATATATATATATATTCATTTATTTGTGTGTGTTTTATGGTATACTGTGGGAATATTTGGCTACTCTTGGTGTTTTGATTAATATTTTTTATTGTACGGTTTTATTAATATTCATAATAGTAATAATAATAATAATAATGATTTGAAAATATTATTAATATTTGTACATAGCAGTAGA